CACGAAGAGAGCTGTAGTGGCACGGGGTTGCCCACTCTCCTCTCTTGTGGAACATTGTGGTTAACGAATTAATTTGCCAACTCAATCAACGCAACTACTACACAGTTGGCTATGCGGACGACCTAGTTATCCTCATAAGCGGGCCATTCCAGAATGTGCTGTGCAACTTAATGAGTAACGCTCTCAAGATAGTCGAAGCCTGGTGTACTAAACCTGGTGTTTGGTCGGATTCACCGATAGTTGGTTATTGGTGAATCCGACCAAAACAGAGATGGTAATGTTCACGAAAAAATGTAACTTGGATACGGTTAAATTGCCCAAGTTATTTAATACCGGACTGTCTATGTCAAGCGAGGTCCAATATCTAGGCATAGTTTTTGATCTTAAGCTAACATGGAACAGCCACTTAGACCAAAAGATAAAAAAAGCCTGTATCACGTTTTGGCAATGCAAAATTCTACTTGGTAAAACCTGAGGTCTTGCACCAAAAATCACAAAATGGCTATACACAACCATAATCAGACCACTCATCACCTACGGTGCAATAGTTTGGTGGCCTAGAACCGAACTCAACACCGCAATTAATAAACTTCAGCGTTTTCAAAGACCAGCATGCTCTGCTATAACAGGCTGCATAAAAATCCACACCCACAAATGCCCTAGAAATAGCGCTTGACCTCCCGCCACTCGACCTGTTTATACAACTACGGCAACGCTAAGAATGTATCATCTGGGCTTGTGGACGGGAAACCAGGGACCTCACTCCAAAATTTTGGAAAGGGCTATTCAATACCAACCTCTGGTAACAGCTCGCTGTGATAAAATCTCGACTACTCTTACATTTGATAGAAGATATCAAATAGAACTACTAGAAACCAACAAGGACTATTCGGGCACAGACGAACTACGTATTTATACTGATGGGTCCAAAATACCAGGATTCGGATCAGGCGCAGGAGTCTTTTCACTGGACCTTAGCATCCATATATCAACAGCACTGGGTAATCACAGCTCAATATTCCAATGCGAATGTATAGCCATTATTCAGGCCGCCAGCGCTGTTATTAATAGGAAAGTCAAAAACTACAAGATACGTATATTATCTGATAATATGGCTGTCCTAAGAGCCCTAGATAGCAACAGCAAAACTTCTGGGCTAGTATAGGAATGTCACCTGACATTGGAGTACATAGCAACGGATAACAAGGTTATCCTCCAATGGATCAAGGGACATAGCGGTTCTGTGGGAAATGACGCAGCCGACGAACTAGCAAGAAGGGGATCATCACAGAGAGTAGAAGGCCCTGCGCCACTTACTTTTCTATCAGTTTCGGACATGGGCACGGTGCGGCAACGAACCACACATAACCATACGCGTTACAGATAGTTCTCTGTGCAGAGGATGTCTGGAAGCAGATGAAACGGCCGCTCTTGTGATCCTGGAATGCATAAGCGTTGCAGAATACCGGGCATCAATCCTCAGGAAGCCGAGGACGCTCCTAGAAGCCTGTGAGAGCCCCAGGAGGCTACTGCGCTTCTGGAAGGAGCTGGCCTGGCTGAGCTAGCTAGCTCAACATACCCTGCACGCACAATGGACCAAGGACGGAGTATATGTGCGGAAACGGGGGCCCACAACAAGTAACAAGTAGAGTGAGTTTAAGTTAGTTGCGTTGCGACCGAAAAGTGTCAAATTTTCTATTTCAACTGTTTACATTTCGGCATCGTCATTCGTCATTGCGTATTTTGTTGGTGTTGTGGTTTGTTTTTGTTATCCACACCCGGAATTTAGAAAGAAACAGTCAAATTGGTAAGTAAATAATTTTAAATTATTATATTGCATGTCGTGAAAGTATGGGGGTTTTAATTATTTTTGAAAAGAGCTGTTTGTGGAGAGAGAAATAAGTGCAAATATTTTTTTTCCTAATTTGTATTGTATGTATTGAACTGCAAATAGCTTAGATAGAAATTACGATATAAATAAACGTTTAATTAATGGTTTCTTTTCTACCGCAATTGTTTTCGACTTATTTATATAGCTTTGCCCTTTGATTGACAATAATTGTGTGGCATTTAGTATTAGTAAATTATTGCAAAGAGCTAACTGATTGATTACCAACATATCAAACAATAAACCTTGAGTCAATGAGTATTTTGTTTTATTTAGAAGATAAATTTATTTAGGTTAGGTACCTACTTACTATTCCTCCGCAAACTAACTTTATTATACTTAATTTTGCTAACTTTAGCTTAATCCCGGAAATATCGAAAATACCGGATTATCGGTATTGGTCTAGAGTCAATACCGAAAATACCGGTTTTGCTGAAATGATTCGGTATTGCGACCCCTCTGTGACTCCATCCAAGAAACTAAATTCAAAAAACCTTGTTGGAGATGTTCATTTTGAATAATCAAGCCATGACAAAGAGCAGCTAGTGTCTTTTCTGTAGCCGCTAACGATTTATTACGTTCAAACCTTTTTAGCATGTCATTACTTTCTAATTCGATAAAACCTGGACTAGGCGGATAGCATTTCTGGGCTTCCGTAAAACGAACCTGACACCAATCGTCATTATCAAAATGTTGCAATTTCAATAACATTTCCGCGTGTGCATCAGAAGTTTTTGCACCCGATGATTTGAGGGTAGTTTCTTGCTTAAAGTTGAAATTAGAGCATGGCAAATCAATTTATTGATCAGAGTTATCGATCAAATCATCAGGGGCGAAAATCGATAACACGTCAGCGTCATTTTCACGTAATTCACTATTCTCTCGATTACGGGCATGCAAAGCACTCACCGACGTGGCAAGACCTTTTACCACTTTTTCCAACTTCCTCAACCTGCTTACACTGTGGCGCCGACGGCGGTGGCGGCACCGACGTCGCGGGCTGCGATGGCTGGACTCCGAATCAAAGTCGCTCGTTGAACATGATGATGACGACCGCGATGACTCAGGAGCAGTAAAGGGGGATAACTTCACCTTCGAGTTAATTGTTGCACCGTTTTCAAAGTTCTCCATTTTTGAAACAACTTTAAAATGGAATTTATTTAACTACCTCCAAGAAAATAATACTTTTTTTTTTATTTTTTATTTAGAGGTGCAGCAATTAAGTTTATGCGTGTTGCTTCTTTCAGACAAGAAACGCCAACGAGCCGATCGCGCCAGCCGCGCACGGCTGCTGGATATTGTGTATGGTGGGGGGAGTGCCATAGATAGTAGAGGACAACTGATGACGAATGCGGCCGCTAGGGGGCGCCTTTGTGCGTGTTCATATGTCAAGACAGGGTTGCCATCTCAATTTTAAAGGCTTGGAATAGGGGACAGAAGCTTAATTCGTCCAGCTTGGTAGTCTTCGAAACATCGCTGGAAAACTTTAAAAATCACTTCCCGCGTGCCACTCCGATTTACTTTACTCATTTTATACCTTTCTGCGTAGTTTCGTCTTAATTTATTACAGTTTCATCTAAACAATAAAAAACACAAAAGGAAAACTGTTCCACAACTGAAACTCGATGACAGCTGATGTATATAAGTTTGGTGTTGCCAGACACATGAATAATGTTAGTTCCTCAAACATACTCATCCTCTAATAGTCACGACTTTATAGACAAACTGTACAAACGTCCCCCACTAAAAATGGCGAAATATATTGTTCGGCAAGTGAACGTATGGCATCTCCATTGATATATGCTCGAATCAGCGTTACCAGATTGAAGATTTTTGGCAATCCTGAGGAAAAAATCGACTCTTAGGGGAAAAAAATATATATGGCAATGAATGTCGAACGTCCTTTATATTCAACTGACATCCTGGCTAATACGCAAGAATTCAGATCCATTTCAAAATACGCTTGCTGGATAGGATTTTCAACCATGCCGAAAAAAGCTGCCAAGTTTTGGGGAGAAGTAATTATATTAGAAAACTTGAAAAAAAAACTATTGGATGCCGGTTTTTTGAAATGAAGCTTCTTTAGGAACGCTTGACTTGGGGGGGTAAACTAGTGCATGTGTTACGATTAGTGTCATCGGTGATTCATCGGTAAACAATGAACAATACCCGTCACAAAATACATCTAGTGCTAACTTACATGTTTACTTGATGTTAACTATTGAAATAGGTTTTTAAATTAATTACACGACGTAATTTATTAATAATAAAAAACAATTTAGAATTTTACTTCTAAAATAACACTCAAACTCAAATGTAAACAAATGAATAACTAAGTTGACATTTTAATAATAGTTTTTATTTTTATTTCCTCTAATTGCGACGAGCAAAAGAATCTAAGCCTATATAACCATAGCTTATATTATTTTTAAGTTTTTAAAAGTTTCGAAAAAGTTTGTTTATATTATTGTGATAATAAAAATATGATAAAGACAAACTTGACTTGTTGACGTTTATTATATATATATATATATATATATATATAATATATATATATATATATATATGTACATACATGTATATATTGTACCAACATATATGTAAACAATAAAGATCAATATATTCATATACATACAGACAGATGGAGCTAAAGAAGTTTCACTTCAGTCATGTGGTTATAAGCACGCTCTCTTTTTTTTTAATTTAACCAAACTTGCCACAGTCTATTTGAGTTTGCCATTTGCTTATACTGCTGTAGAACGGGCGTTTGGCGTTGATGAATATCCTCAAAAATATACTCCGAAATGAAAGGCTCACGAAAACAGCAAATCATAAGTATGAAATGTCTTTAAAAAATCACGGCGGGTGCACATAGTTTGAAGTAACCAGAGAACTACTATAATTATTTAATTCTGAAAATGCATGCTTATTCACAAGTAGGAGAAGACCTGACTGAAGAAGTACCTACTTGATATTTTAAATGAAAATAAAATTAAAAAACATGCTATTTTATTTTTTATTGTAATAAAGCGATTGGGGTGTTTTTTAGAAAACGTATCAATTTGGGGATTTTTTATAAATTATTTGAGGTAAATCGTAAAATTTCATCTAGCAGCCCTGCGCTCACCATTCTGTCACTGTCAATTTTGGAGGGAAATCGATCCATGTTATCTTCGTAGGAAATTGCTAACAAATTAATTCTATCGCGTATTATGGATATTATTGAGTCAATAAAGAAAGATAAAGCATACCTTAAATGTAAATTAATTGTCAAAAATTGGGAAAAAGAATTCAAGAAGAAATACTCCCGCACACCATCCAAATTTGACATCAAAGAAGCTCCGGCGAATATAAAATACGCCTACAAAAAGTATTTTCAATTGAAAAGTGCGTTTTTAGAAAACTCTCTTAGTGCTTGTGACATTGATGAAGAACCTATAGGATCACCTGAATCTGTGCAACATTTAGATAGATTGTCATTTGATTGCCCAAATCCTTTATCAGAACTACTATTGCCAACCCTACCTAGCGGTGAAGAACTTCATGAATTAATAACAGACTCAAAATCACAGCAAAATGCAAATGCGCCCAGTCCATTTGTAGAGAACTTGTCGAAAAAGCTTTTTAACAATAGAAAGTTTTCACTAAGAAATCCAAGAAAATTATCTCGAATACAGTCCAGTCAGGATTACAAAAAGGATGCTAGCATATCAGATAAAGATGTAGAGCCAAACTTATCTGTAGATTTTGGAGTTTCGAAATTTAATGTGTCTTTTATTCAGGACATCACTTGCACAAAAAATAGTCTTTCTTCTGATGTGATTCAAATTTCTTTGGAAAATGTTACCCCAAAAAGACAAATAGACGAAGCATGGATTAACCGTGCTGATGATATTTTAGAAGGTAATAATGTAAGTGTTAAAAACAAAACTTATGAATTCCATTCTTTTGGCTTAAGTAACATTAAAGTGCCAAATAGTGCTCAAAAATTAAATGATTATGTTGAAAACAGTGAATCTGAAGAAGATAAAGAATTTGATAAGTTAAAGCCGGCCTTGAAAAAAAGAAAATTGAATAATTTGACAAAATATGCACTGCCACCGAAAGTAATTTCTTCTACAGATACACAATCATACCCTTCTTCTAGTTACACACTGGGAAAAAATAATAAAAGTCCACATAAAAAGGTGGTTGAAATTGAAAATGTAAACGATAATTCTAAAGAACAGTGTCCTCCAGATATTAGGGAATATATTCCTTTTGGTATAGAGGAAGTGGTTACTCCCAGACACTACAATATTACTGATATTTTAAAAAACAATTCAACAACCAAAATAACTCATCAAGATAAAGAAAACACGGTAGAAAATAAATTAAAAGAAAAAATAAAATTAGGAACGATGAATGAGAATTTTGTAAAAATAAACATAGAAAAGAAAGTTTTTGTGCGTGGTAAGAAGTCAAAGAGCTATACCAAATTTAAGAAACAACAATGGAAAGACAAAAAAGCTCTTCATGCTGGTATGGAATTTCCTGAAAATGGCAAAATTTCTTGTTTTAAATGTGGGTTGACGGGACATATGGCCAGGTACTGTTCTGCTCATAAAGGCGACACACTGCTACCTCTAGAAAGCTATGATGATAATGATTTACCAACTTTGGAAGATATGCAAAGTATAGTATCAAAAGAAACAAATAATATTCCAAATGAAGAAATATTAAGTAAGTCTGTGTCTACAACTAGCAAAATTCCAGATTCGTTTTTGAAAATGCTTGAATCAAATAGTTTTTCAAATACAGACATAAAACCTATATATACTGATTATGAACAAAAAGCACCAAAGGAAGTATATGAAATTTTGAAAAAATTTGGGCATGATTGTTTTCGATCTGGCCAAGAAAGAGCCATTATGAGAATTTTGTGTGGAATGTCAACATTATTAATTTTATCAACTGGGGGAGGAAAATCTTTATGCTATCAGCTTCCAGCATATATTTATAGTCAGTATTACAAATGTATAACATTAGTTATATCTCCCTTGGTATCATTAATGGAAGATCAGGTTCTATCAATGCCAGAGTTTTTAAAAGCTGGGTGCTTGCACACTGGTCAACCTCCTACTCAACGTCGCAAAATCATTCAATGTCTTAAGGATGGTGAAATAAATATTCTTCTTATTTCTCCAGAAGCACTTGTGTCTGGAGACAACTCTAATGGTTTTGCAGGACTCTTTAAATATTTACCAAAAATTGCATTTGCTTGTATTGATGAAGCTCATTGTGTTTCTCAATGGAGCCACAATTTCAGACCAAGTTATCTCATGATCTGTAGAGTTCTCAGGGAAAAATTGAATGTTAATTGCATTCTGGGACTCACAGCTACAGCAAGTCAGCCAACTATACAGAGTGTAATTAGTCACATTAATATTCCAGACAATTTAGAAGGTGTCATAACAAACCCAACATTACCAGATAATCTTATCTTGTCTGTCTCATTTGAAAAAGAAAAAGACAGAGCTTTGGTGTCATTTCTGGCTTCAGAAAGGATTGAATCATTTAATTCAATAATAGTGTATTGTATTAGACGAGATGAATGTGAAAGAGTAGCAGCAATTTTAAGATCATGTCTTCAAGAGCCAAATCAAAATAGGATGGAGAAAAAAAATAACAAAAGAAAGAGAATGTCTTACACAGCAGAAGCATACCATGCTGGAATGTCTGCAGCTCAAAGGAAGAAGATTCAAAAGCACTTCATGGATGGTACTTTAAGAATTATTGTCGCAACTGTGGCCTTTGGTATGGGTATCAATAAATCTAACATAAGATGTATTATTCATTATAATATGCCAAGTTGTTTTGAATCATATGTGCAGGAAGTTGGAAGAGCAGGACGCGATGGCCAAACAGCATATTGTCATGTTTTTATGAGTTACAGCAGTAATGACAAAAATGAACTTTTAAAACATATTCATGCTAATACTATAGATAGACCAGTCATCAGAAAACTACTTCATAGTGTGTTTATTCCCTGTGGATGTGTCGATAAAAATATTCCATCATCTAGTAGAGGAATTGGTGATAGGAGATGTAATGGGCATGAAGTTGGAATACCAATTGATAGCACAGTGGAAGATTTAGATTTACCTTCCGAAAATATTTCTACATTATTGTGCTACGTAGAGCTTCATCCTAAACAGTATATTAAAGTCTTAAATAATGCATATATTATGTGCAAAATTTCTTCTTATGGAGGACCCAAAAAAATCCTCGAAGCTGCTACAGCTTGTGCTCCACTTGCAATGGCTTATCTATTGGAAAGCAAAAAAAAATCAGATGTTATGAAAAATACTATTTTGGAATTCAATGTCATTGAAGTGGCTGCTGCTATAGGCTGGGAAAGTGGCATGACTAAGTACCACCTAAAAAACTTAGAATGGATTACAGAAAATGGAATGACGAAAAGATCTCAGCTGAAAGTTGAATTAAATACACTGGGATTCAGAGTAAAAGCACCAGGTGATTTAAATCCTACAGAATTAGACAATATTTTGGATGATCTTCATAATTCTGTTGTATCCCAAGAAAAAGCCAGATTATACCAATTAGAAGAAATAAACAAAGCTTTTAGTGACCTGGGAAATTATTCTTTAGAAAGCAATATCATGAGTGACGAATTTCTTAAATCAAAATCTGACGATTTGAAATTAACAATACGAAACTATTTTCAGCGAGATACTTCAATACTACATAGTAATATTGCCTTAGAAAAGCGTCCATTTGATACTGAACGCGTCACGGCAGATGTATGTGCTTTGTTATCTTGCTACAAAGATTGTGACTTTACAGGGCGTAGTGTCGCAAGAATATTTCAGGGAATATCTTCCCCGAATTACCCGGCTATAGTCTGGGGTAAATGTAAATTTTGGCGCACGCACATTCATGAAGATTTTTATGGTCTAATAAAAACAGCGACTGAACAAATCATCCGTAACAGAATAGGATAAATAGGAAATAAAAATCAATATAGCTAACGGTTATTTTATTTATTCAAATCAATTGGGGCCGGATTTAAGGCGGGGCTGTGGACCAGCCTTCTTAGCATAAGCACCGTCAAATTACTATAGAAGTTAACAGTCAGACGCGATAAAAAAACGTGATATAATGTAAATTGTGATGGTCATGCTACGGGGGCAGGGGTCCTCACAAGAGAGTAAAAAAAACGAGCGAGCTTTACAGTAGTCGCGTATGATGTGTAACATTTGAAATCGTATATTGTAAAAAAAGAAATAAAACCTACTACAAAAGGAATAAATCATTTGAACATATTGACGTTTGTGCGTCCATGAAGTTTCGTATTCTTAATTCGAAAATTCTACATTTGAAAGAAATAATTATTGTTCTTTATCGGCGTCGTAAAATTTGTCGAATCAGTAATTTTAGGATGTAGGGGAGAGGGAGGCGCATTTTTAATATTTGGACTCAAATTGAATAAGCATTGTTTTCTTAGCTTACTTTCCTTTGTTAATATAAAAATGATGAAATGTTTGAATTTGCTGAAAACCTTGAAGAGAAATAATGTGTTTATTAAAACACAAAAGTTGTTCAAATCTGCCTCCCCATGGGGGTATGCCCTCATTTTAATCGACATGCGGCAGTTTTGAACAACCAGAAAAAGAGAGGATAGAGTAATAATTTGTCTTTATTATGATGATATTTATTGTTATTAAAATATAAAGTTATACGAAACTTCTAAAGTTACATCTTGAGTAACAAAAATAAAAATAGTAATTTTTAATTGTGTCTGACTTCCTCCTTGTTAACAAAAGTAATCATATTGCACAAGAGTTTTAGTTTATTATAATTATATTATACCGCCTCAGACGCAAAAATAAACTTAATATCAAACTACTAAACCACAACAAATGTCGTTCTAAAAATAGTTTACTTCTTGGAGCTATGTTTTCTTGATATTTTTTAACTTGATAGAAGAGTGTATTCGGCTTCAGTCCATATGCATCTGCAGCTCTTCTAAGTTTCATAGTTCCGTTGATGACGCATCAAACAGTATTTTGGACTTCATTAATTAATAAATAATGAATTACAGTTAGTGATGCATTTAATTACATTTAGAATACATGTATTAGTAAACATTTGAAGTTTGCATTTGAACGTCCCGTTTAAATCTGCTCCATGGTCACTTGGAAGATAATGTATTACAAAAAAAATAATGTGATGGTGTTAAAATAATGGCAAGCAAAAACTACAATGTGGATTGAAAACTAATAAGTACTGCACAATTTTGTGAAAGGATTAGTTGGAAACCTTTACTCACGTGATAGTAAATACCTTACAACATTTATTTTTATTTTTTACTTTACCGGTACTAATACTACGACAAGTTATAAATCTTTTTTAAAACGAAAGGGTGCGGCCAGAGTGCACTCAGATTCAGATTCTGAAAACAAGCGCGAGAAATAAACAGTGTAGTCTAGGCAGGTTGCCTGCTTTTTCTCGCGCTTTGTTTTCTGAGTCTGAATCTGAATCAGGAGTGCACTCTGGCCGTACCCTTCGACTACACTGTTTATTTCTCGCGCTTGTTTTCAGAATCTGAATCTGAATCTGAGTGCACTCTGGCCGCACCCAAAGGGTGCGGCCAGAGTGCACTCAGATTCAGACTCAGATTCAGATTTCGAAAACAAGCGCGAGAAATAAAACAACTCAGAAAACAAAGCGCGAGAAAAAGCAAGCAACCTGCTTAGACTACACTGTTTATTTCTCGCGCTTGTTTTCAGATTCAGACTCAGATTCAGATTTCGAAAACAAGCGCGAGAAATAAACAGTGTAGTCTAAGCAGGTTGCTTGCTTTTTCTCGCGCTTTGTTTTCTGAGTCTGAATCTGAATCTGAATCAGGAGTGCAATCTGGCCGTACCCTTCGACTACACTGTTTATTTCTCGCGCTTGTTTTCAGAATCTGAATCTGACTCTGAATCTGAGTGCACTCTGGCCGCACCCAAACGCTCGCGCTTTTTTACTTGATGTTTGTCACAGCCAGTGCTGCCATTATTAAAATGTAGTTACGGCATAAATTAACATAAAGTTACGTTCAGAAATCAACATGTTCAAATCTGCCCCTGTGCTAAGGTGCCTCCTTAAACTGAAACTTTAAAATCATGGTTTTACTTATATTTAGGTTACGAAAACCTTTTCAAGTCTAAAACAATTAAATATTATATCATTTTTAATTCAAAAACACTGGCCCTATAGCAGATCTTAATTTATTTTACTAATTATTCTATTCTTATTATCATTAAGAAATGTAAGATTATATAATTAATAATATAAGTATAGTAACTTATTCGCCACAATGAAAAAACATGAAATTAATATAATAGTTTTTAAAAGGATGGCTGAGCGTGAGTAAAGGTTCGTTTTATTTAATCTTTATAATCAGCAACTTTTTGCAATATTGGTAAAAAATATCAAAATTTTTAGTACCTAGATGTGACTCGTACCCACGGAGGAAAAACAAAGAGGAGGTGTGGTGATTAAATTTCCTCAAGAAACGACGCGTGATAATTTGCGGGATGCGGGGTGTTCAGCTCCGCCCACTTCTCAATATTTCATCTATCGGCTAATAGCAAAACTAGCTTAGGTTGATATTTATGTTACTACGTAGTAGTTCAGCTATCTAACACTAGATGTTCAAAAGTTTTGTATATAATGGGACGTACTCAGAACTTGAAGCTTCAAAAAAATGAAATATGTAGGTAAATAAATAAATAAACGTTAACAAATTTGACCGATTTTAAAATTTTTAAGGTATAATTTTTATTATTTTAAAACATGTAACGGCTTGATGAAAAAAAATCCAGGCAGACCAGGCAGCAGACGGGACTCGAACCCGCACCCGCTCCCGTCTGCTGCCTGGTCCGCGTGGATATTTTTCTAGTTATATTTTCTTTAGATTTAAATTTTAAGGTAGTTTAAAAATATAAAATGTTATTACAAACATAATTTTATTAAAAAACATCAATTACCTGTATAATATAGTTTTGGTTAGTTGTTGTCGGTTGGTTGCCCTATCGTTTTGTATTGTGGCAAAATGCTTAAAACGAATATCAATATATTTTTCTGCAATCGATTTCATCAGAAATACAACATGATTAACTGTAGGTGATTGGTCAAACATATGGTTGGCCGATTTTTTGAAACAATCTTGTCCAATAAGTGATTTTAATGTATTCGATACAATTTTATGTTGACGAAAGTTAGGAGTATTCAAAGATTGCGATTTAACACAACGAATACTGCCTTCGGTCCGTATACATATTTTTATGACATCTCTAGATGGGAAAGTAAGACCACCCTTATTTTTAGTTTTTATCAAATCAAGGTCACTATCGTCGTAGTTATCAGCATATAATTCTTTGAGACAGCTCTCACATTTGATCTTGGAATGTAAATATTTGACCACATACCCAGAAATATATGCTACTATATGACGGCGCAAATAGTCACCTATAGTTGTATTTAATTGTTCATCAAATTCCAATAACATATCGTCAGGCATAGGCTCGACATCCATGCTATCCGAAGACTCGAACCACAACCCCGCCCACAATGATGACGTCAGGACCTAGTTGAAAATCACAGTGCACAGTTGCTTAGGCCAGCTCCTCTTTGTTTTTCCTCCGTGCCACCAACTATGGCCTATAATCGCGGCACGATATGATGACCGTTTTGACATATTGCAATAGTGACGCAAAGTCAACCTACTTACTATCGAACAAAATCCTTTAAAATCAAATAGGTACGAGCACGGAGGAAAAACAAAGAGGAGCTGGCCTAAGCAACTGTGCACTGTGATTTTCAACTAGGTCCTGACGTCATCATTGTGGGCGGGGCCTAAGTCAGTATGCTTTCAGCGTTCGTCAGGTGCACACTTAACGAGACTCGCATTATAAGTGTTTTTTTGCGTTTTTAACAAGAAAAGGATGAAGTTTTGTGTTTTACTATGTCAAAGTTACTCAGACAGACGTTCTGATAATATGGATGGCATCACATTTCATTTGTAAGTAATGTTATACGTAATTAAATATATAAGTTCTAGAACATTCTCAGCCTCAGCTATCAGCGTTAAAATTCTACTACTTGACACCAGATGGCGACACTTTTAGGAAGAAAATACACAAGTTTACGTATAATTTTGCAGTAGTATATTGTAATAATCATACGTAAATACTGAAAACTGTTATACACTTATTCCTAAATAACTTTTAGTATCTAAAACAGTAATTTTATCAATATATTACTAACTGGCCGCCATCTGTCGTCATATAGAATAACTTTTTAAACATTACAAATATCCAGGGCCGTAATACGTATTAAATTATTTTACCAAGTAAATAAATTTTAATTATTTTTATGTTCGTTTTAGATTTCCATCCAACGATAATTTAAAACAGCAATGGATTTCAAAACTTAATAGACCGGATTGGACACCATAGAAGAAGAAGATATTTCCATTTTAAATGAATCTTCTGTGCAAAAAAATAATATTACATCAGAACGTTATCGCATTTTAAATAAAATGAGTTTCGAGTCTTCGGATAGCATGGATGTCGAGCCTATGCCTGACGATATGTTATTGGAATTTGATGAACAATTAAATACAACTATAGGTGACTATTTGCGCCGTCATATAGTAGCATATATTTCTGGGTATGTGGTCAAATATTTACATTCCAAGATCAAATGTGAGAGCTGTCTCAAAGAATTATATGCTGATAACTACGACGATAGTGACCTTGATTTGATAAAAACTAAAAATAAGGGTGGTCTTACTTTCCCATCTAGAGATGTCATAAAAATATGTATACGGACCGAAGGCAGTATTCGTTGTGTTAAATCGCAATCTTTGAATACTCCTAACTTTCGTCAACATAAAATTGTATCGAATACATTAAAATCACTTATTGGACAAGATTGTTTCAAAAAATCGGCCAACCATATGTTTGACCAATCACCTACAGTTAATCAGTTTGTATTTCTGATGAAATCGATTGCAGAAAAATATATTGATATTCGTTTTAAGCATTTTGCCACAATACAAAACGATAGGGCAACCAACCGAACAATAACAAAAACTATTATTTACAGGTAATTGATGTTTTTTAATAAAATTATGTTTGTAATAACATTTTATTATTTTTAAACTACCTTAAAATTTAAATCTAAAGAAAATATAACTAGAAAAATATCCACGCGGACCAGGCAGCAGACGGGAGCGGGTGCGGGTTCGAGTCCCGTCTGCTGCCTGGTCTGCCTGGATTTTTTTTCATCAAGCCGTTACATGTTTTAAAATAATAAAAATTATACCT